CGTCGTCGTCGTACGTACGTACGTACGTACGTACGTACTACTACTACTACTACGTACGTAACGTTACGTTACGTTACTACTACTACTACTACACACACACACACACACACACACACACACACACACACACACACACACACACACACACACACACACACACACACACACACACACACACACACACACACACACACACACACACACACACACACACACACACACACACTCACTCAGCCCTCCACTCATCGCTCTTTAACTCTTCCTCTGCCCCGTCCTTGTTTCAATCTCTTTCTTTTTGCCCCTTTTATGAAATGTGATTTAATGATGAAATATATTGCCATTAAAAAGTGAACACTGTTGATATTCAAAGTGTTATATCAGATGGAATTTGTGCAGGGCGATGGGCGTTAGTGTGCAGACATGCAGTCTGCAGAAGGATCACTGTATGCCTGTGCTCTCCTTCATTCTAGCCTCCGTGTTGTGTCCAGCCCACCCTATGATACTTCAGTAAACACAAGCATAACACATATACCTTCTGGTGTGTGTGTGTGTGTGTGTGTGTGTGTGTGTGTGTGTGTGTGTGTGTGTGTGTGTGTGTGTGTGTGTGTGTGTGTGTGTGTGTGTGTGTGTTGGGTCCAGTGTTGATATTGGGTGTTTTTGCTCTTAGCAGGGAATTAGTGAGACAGCTTTGGTTTCATCGTCTGTAAAAGTGCGTTTATCTATTCATCTCTGGTGTGTGTGTATGTGTGCATCACAAGGTTATACAGTTTGTGTATCTATTGTGTGCACTGATACTGCAGTGTAAATGAGATGTGTTGACAGGGCCTTTCTCCCTGTGGTAGAGTACAGTCTTCTCTTTTCATGAGCGAGTCTCAAGCAGATCATTTATTGGATTCATCATTTCAAGCTGTGAGATCTGGGAATGTAATATCACAATGGTTTCAGATTTAGTGTTCATGTTTTACAGTATCATCTCCCCTATTTCTTAATTTAAAATGCACTATCATTTAATTTCATTTGAGCAATAAAATCATATTTTTAGGGCGTTGAAGGTTTAATCTCAACTTTGTAATGGCAAATGAAAGCAGATACGATACGATCACTTACATATATATTTTACTTAATAGAAAGCACGGATAACATGTGTTTCTTCGACACAGACACTGAGGAAGGTCTGAGTAATGTGGCACTGTAGCTGCCCTGTTGTAACCTGTGATCCCTACTCCTACTGTACTGTAGAGTCTTAAAAGGGGCCTCAACATACACCCGTAAAAAGAAGCCCCAGAACCTTTCCCATCCTAAAGTGCATAAATAAATGTGTCTCAGCCTTCCTGTGTCCCCCATCCATGTAGAATTACTTACGAGGCTGTCCAGTTGCTGGGACCAGCCACCATCAGACATCACTTAGCCTCTGAGTTACCCTGTGCACCTAGAATGCAAGTCATCTTCCAGTCACAGGACTAAATCATGGTTGGCCCCTGCCCTTTTTTTGCATTGTTCAGGACTTTGATCGTGGCCCAACCTCAATTGCCACTTCTGCACATCAGGCTAAAATGGGTAGGAGCTCCAACAGTTTATAGCATTTGACTTAAAGATGTGATTTTGTTTTATGGCTGGTACTGCAATAAGTGCACCCAGAGGAACAGTGGAATGGCCTTAAGGTGCAGGTTTCCCCTGTTATCTTAGGGAGTATTTAAACAGCAACAGTATTGTATGTAACCTGAAAACCATTGGGAATAAGTTACTGGTGAACAAAACAGACACACTGATTGAAATAACTAAATCTTTCTTGCCCACACTATTTATTTAACTGAGCACTATATTAGAAGCATGTCATATACATGACACTTGACCACAGTTTAACTGTATAAATAAAACATTAGCTTGTGTTTTCACACACCAGATGTTAAATGTGTATATTTAATGCATTGAAATGACCTAAAGTATACTGTTGTTTAACAACTTAAATAAAACCAATGTGGACAAATATATTCCAAGCACAAGAACAGTGTCTTTATACTGGTCTAATTTATTTGAAGCTGAACATAAGTGCATTTCCAGTACTGCTATTCCTGCAGAAACACCCCAGTATAAAACCACAGCTCAGCTGACAGATCATCACCCTGAGATTAGTTTGCATCTGGCAACAAGATGCCTGAGGAATCACAGAACTGTTTACAGGGAAGTTAAGTGACATAGATAAGAGCTAAGGCTTTGCAGGGCTATTTGATTTTCAAATGGAGAACAGGCTTTTATGTGGCTTTCTTGTCTTCTTTTGTTGTGTTATTTTACAATGTCTTTACATTTCTCCCTTGGTCTCATATGATCTAGCCAAGCTGTAACGCCTGAATGTATTTGGCCTACAGTGTGCCATTCTTTTCCTGTTCTTGGGTGAAATTATGCTTGGCCTTGGCTTTGGATGTATTTCCTGGTTCTGTGCTGAATTATGGTTGGCACATCAAGCTAAGAGAACCCTGGTTAAACTGCCAGGGTTTTATGGCTGGATATGTTCACAATAGAGCTTTTCAGGATTTGGAATATGTCTGGCTGTATGTCTGGAGCTCATTCCTCAAAAATAATTTTATTTCAGTGAAAAACCTGGTTCCCATTTGTAGAGATTCCCTCTGTATTGCCAGTACAGTACGTGGCACACAACACACTAAGTCTTTCACTTCGGTTTGGAAAGTGGGCTTCCAAACTTTTCAGAAATCTACTTTTCTGTTTGGTTTACTTATCAGCTTATTAAAAAAAATATGTTTTTGTTACTAGCTTCCCTGAATGATTCTCTCCAAATGTCTATCTGGAAATATTTCACATCCAAAGATTTTTTCATCCACTTTTATAAAGCTAAAAAATGTGTTCCGAGACCCCAACCACTTTACTATTCTGGATATTTCTGCTCAATTCTTCTTATCCTGCCTGTCTGTTTCTCTTCTAGTCATGTGTTTGGCCCCGCTAAAGAAAACATTGGCCATGTAGTCCAACAGGAAATACTCCCACATCTGGTGCTGGTTCAGAACATCAACATGAAGAAGTAGGCTTTATGGGGAGTTAATGTGTGCCCCCTCTCTCCATCCCAGCCCCTAACACAGCCGCTCGTACCTCCAGGCCACCCTGTGCACCCCCTCCTAGACTTTACACCCTTTACTTAGCTCTTCCTGTGTCTCTGTGAATCTTCATTGGAGAGGTGGCAGAGAGACAAAGTGTGAGGAGTCCACTCTTTATAGCTGCCTCTATTAATGTTCACAGATAAACTCAGATGTACACTTATTAGTCACACACAAGGTGGGTTCCCGGGGACTCTTATCAGAGTTCCTGCACCTCTGCTATATGGAGACTCACTCAGTGATATTTAGTCATAAACTGTGACTCATCATGAACACATCTTCCTCTAAACTCTGGCAGCCACTCTACCTGAAACTCTCACACATAGAGAATATTGCTTTCTGCTTGGCACAGCTTCACAAACCTCTGCTCACAGTTCTCCTTTTTCTCCTAGTTTTTGATCATTAAGATAATATTATGGTCTGGTTTGGTATCAGTCATTCCCCTCTGCCCTAAGCTGAGTGTATATTAAAAAATGTTGTTATGCCTGGGAAAAGGTTTTGTACTGTTTTCCCTCTCCGCTCTTCCCATCAGGAGGAATAATTGTGAGTTTCCGTTGTGTGGGCCCGTTAACCTTATAGTTTTATACTTGTTTTTAATGGATGGCACAGAAAAGACCAAGTGGCCAACAGCCAGTGTACACTATGGGATTATGATATACTGTATAATGTATGCTGACCAATATGAATGGATAACTGTGATGGCTCCATAAATATTAACAGTACTTTCTTCCCTCCTCTCAGGCCGTGTGACCCCCGAGCAGCTGTGCTCCTACATGCAGCTGTTCAAGAGTAGTTGGGGGGCGCTAGAGAGTCACTGCGGGGTGCTCCAGCTGGGCCTGGCCACGGCCCAGACCCTCCGCCACCCCGGCTTGCCCCGCTGGGATGCCTGCCTGGCCTTTGAGAGGCTGCTGCTGCAGGTCTGTACTCATCTTACACAAAACTGTTATCCATATGGGTTGTAGGCAATAAAAAGTAAATCAAAAGTCTAAAATGGATATCCACCACAGATGCAAGCAATTTTCTTTTTTGATATTAAAGAATGTGGATCAAATAACTTGAATATTGCAAACAGATTTTTACATTCTATCCTGTACACCGTTAAACTGACAGTGTAATAGAAGAGCAGCACATATGATGGCAATTTGTAATTGCCTTGGTAATTATTCTTTAGTTACCTTCGGGTAAATATTTTATTACCGACGCTCAGCAGGTAAGTGGCTGCTTGTGGTTTGCTAGATGTTGGCCAGAATGTTGTGTTAAACTGACAGGGACAGGAAAAAATGCAGATTCCTCTCCTTCATAAACAAGGTCAGTTGTGTTTGTAGGGTAAACATTTGGATCCAGTAAACACAGCAAAAAAGCCAGATTTTCCATCATGTTGCTTTGAGGCTTTTAGAGGTCTAGCTTGCGGGGGCGGACAGCGGCGGATGTCCACGTGTGTTTGACTGTGGAAAGGTCAGAGGGCAAGCCTGATGGAGGGACAGAGGGGTGAGTGTAAGAATAAATCAGAAGCAAAGCCAGCCAGTCATCACATCAGCTCTTTAGCAGTGATCAACTGATATTGTAGGAAAGAGCACCAAGCTGAATGGCGCCATACTCTGCGAGATAATAAATGGTAAAGCCGGTGTTATCCTTCTCTTACCTTGCTATTTTCATTGAGTCGCTGTATATTCCTGAAGCTGTAAAGCAAGCAGCGGAATAGCAAAGTATTTAGGAACTTATTAAACTAAATTACGGAAAAGTAAAACAAGCTTGCAACAGTGCCCTATGCCAAATTGGAATTTCAAAACAACCTCATAAACCTTGGTCCTCAGCTGGGGCCATCATTGGTTTATTAAATGAAGGAAGAAGACTTAGGGCTTATAGTCCCAGTATCCATTTACTTCATGACCCCACATTGATCCACTCGCTACCCCATGGTTATCTCCTATACCTGGATAATTCAAAGCACAACATTCTCACCACTGTTTTGTAGTTTCAGTCTCATAACCACCAGGTTTTAGGAACTGCGTCCCGTTAAACTGACGATGACTAAGTTAATAACAGACTGTTGTTGTGTTTAGCATCAGGATAGTATAAAGAGCACCTGGCGTTGGTTCAAAATGAAATTCTTCAAAAATCAAATCTCACAATCAAGCCTTGAGCGTGATGTGAGAGTTGCTGTTTGCAATCAAAACGGCCCTGGGTTTTATTGAGGTATTAAGGGAAATGAGTTGTGTGTCCTCTGTGCCCCCTCTGTTTATTTAATTTCCATGTGAGGTTTTTTTTCTCTGGCTCAACATGGACAGAGAGAAGTTAATTACATTACAAAATGGCGGGATGAAATGCCTTTCAGCTCTGGCTGGCGGTTGGGCTGTGTTTGCTCTGCCTGAGTGTGTGAGGGCTGCTGTGGATAGCATTGGGCAGAGCCGGTCGCTCCACTGCTGGTGGACAGTGTGAGTTCATTCAGGTTAAGTCTGTGGTGCCCCGGGGCCTTGAAGTGGGCCTTGACTGAGGCAAAGGGCCATTCAGTTCAGGGACCAGCCTAGTTTATACCTTTCCAAATAGTTATGCATATACTTTGTCTGCATACTATATAATAATACTGTGCAATTGCTACTTTGAGACCTAAAGAAACATGTAATTGCTCATGAGGTAGAGCTTAAATACGCTACTGTTTAAAAATGGGGTTTGTTTTTGCATACTTTTTAATGGTGGCCTTCACTTGAAGGAGATATACCTGTGAGGGTCATGCAGCTGTGAGATTGCCAAGATAGGGAAACAGCTGTGGTTAAAAAGCTTGACATGTTATGTAATGGGGTGTGATACATGATACTGAATTTACAGGGGCTGCTGGATTACCTCTTCAATAAAGGACTTTTATTTTGTGTGAGATGGTCAGATATCTTGTTGGCTGGCACTGCCACCCTGCTCGCTGTCTGGCATGTAACTGGGATTTGGTCTGAATGGGTCAGATTGAGCAGGCTTGGTCCATCTCCAGCCCGCAGTTACAGAATGTGTATGCTAGACGTGTGCAGCCAAGGCAAAGCTCAACAGACTCACTCTTTCACCACTTCCCAGAACATCACAGGCACCCTACCTTCCCATCATCGGGCCGCCAGAGCCTCGACCTCACCAAATTAAACATGTATACTACTACTGTACATCCCTCCCAGAGCGAACTGACTTACTTTGTAAGGCTAGTATTGTCTTTGGGTGTGCTGTGCAGTTTACTGTTCATTAGTGTGTCACATCAGTAAACATAGTAGCGATGACAGTGGTGCAGTGGAGAGGGCCTAACCTCCCTCACCCTGGCCTGTTGCTCTACTCTGCTGGGATTACAAGGGCAGGACTCTGCAAACATTCAAGCTCCGAGTTATTACTGGTCACAGCACAGCCGTATGTCCCGGCTCCCATGAGTCACTCATACTGCCTGCCTGGTCCTTATCTCTGTCTCTGCTTTGTGTTTGTGTTTAAGTCTGAGAAACTGTTTATATGTAAGTTAAAAACAAGCTATGAACCCAATTCCCTTGACATTAATTTCCAGAAGCTGAAATTGTTCATTGGGACTCATTCGTACAAACACAAGATACAGATCCAAATGAGTCTTTTTGAAAATGTAAGCATTTACCAGCATGTGGTTCAAACCCCACTGCAGTCAGCATGTCGTTGTGTCCCTGGGCAAGACACTTCAACCCAAATTGCTCTTGCTCTTATGTAAGTTGCTTTGGATAAAAGTGTCTTAACAAGTAACATGTATTATTATATGACAAAGTAGTTTACCAAGACAACCAATTAGCGGTCTTTGCGAGTCTACTTGGTAACAAGGGTTGACACAGCTAATATCCAAATACCGATCATGTTGATTGGGTTGGGTTCCAGATGTCAACATTTTAGTTTGAAAAGATGCTAGACTTTAGAGGTCTGTATTGGAAAAGGGAGTTATCTGGGAGTTTAAAAAATTAACTGTATATTAGTCAGATGTAGAGATATAGGGGGAGATGGGAAGACATGTGGCTAACGGCCCAGGTTAGAACCAAGTCCGCTACACTAATGGCTTATCCGTTCCCTATAGTTTCAAATACTGACATATCTTCAAACAGCTTATACTGCTCACTCATTGGCTTTAGCTCTCGTAATGCATAGTCCACGAGTTGGCCCAAGAGGAATATCAGCTCTCATCGTGTAATCATTCCAGGAAAGACAACGTTTATTTTTTTTACACAAGAAAAAGAGGGAGAATTGTCAACCTCAGGTGAAATTATACATACACCTCTCTCCAACTGCGATTGCTCAATAATTAGTGGAACATCCTACTACTCCGAGCGTTGGTTTTCTCTTTACACATTTAAGACTAATCTCTTATCTATTGTGATTGTATCTTGAAGATAAGTCGTTTTCAGACTTTGACGTGCTGAGTTGCTTTGTCCCCCACTCTATGTTGTGATGAGGGATTATCTGTATAGCCAGGTTGGAGCCCGGTGACCCACATATTCCATGATCTGCAGCAGTACAGTGTCAGTGTGTGCTGACCAAAGACTCATGACCCTTCACCTCAATCCCTTGACCCCTCCAGGACACTGACCTGTAGATGCTCAGACTCGCAGGTCTGCAGTCTGACAGAAGTCTGACAATTATAAGTTGTTTTCTGACAGAAGACAGGCAGTCATATATGTAACATCTGGATTGTATCATTTCTTATGGCGACAGAAGGAGAAATGTTGATATTGGTCCCAACATAACTTTCATCTTATCTGAGCTGCAAGCCACAGACAGACAGGGGGCTTTAAGCCTGTAATTGGTCTTTCCCCGGGGTATGGAGCCCGTCCCCACATCCCAGACATTCCCCTTATTCTCCATCTCTGCTGTGTCCCTGCAGCCCCCCATAGTGACAGGCGGTGGGGGGGTTACTGTGGTTTGCTGGAGATTGTAACAAAGGGGTGTGAATGACTCCGGGGCACTGCCCTATGATGTCCAGTACTGACCTTCTCCAGTTCCCCACTGTTTAACTGCCTCACATCTGGACTGACCTGGTCTGACCGTCTCCCCATCCATCCACCTTTAGTACCTCACTCTGCCCTCTTACTGAGTGTCTGCTCCGAAAGCCCCTCAACCCTGGAGCAACAAAGCTCCTCTCACAGAAAGAGCCACAGGAGGTTCATGATCAACTCCTGCCTGCCTCTTGACCAAGTGGCTTCTCTGCCTCCGTCCTATCTTCTCCCGTTCATCCCTTTTTCTCAAAACCCCGCTTCTCTTCTTAATATGGCATACTGTATCTCTGTTATGTGTTCTCCAAATAAATAGTTCAATGCAACATACACACACGCATGTACAACATGAACTCTTGAGCTCAAAGTCAACACCGCTGCTTTCTGCAACTTGAGGAAAATGCGGAGCTGGAAGAAAGTGGGCCGTATCAGAAGTTATTTACCTATCTCTTCCTTCCTGTGTTTAGTTGGAGAGGATTACAGTTGGAGAGGGGAACAGGGATGGAGTTTACTCCCAGGAAGACCCAGTAATAGCCCCCATCTCATGTCGTACCCCCCCCCCCCCCC